TGAAAAGATTCCCAAAATCACCAGGTGTTAAATTTTTGAAAGAATTTCCAAAAATTTCGGAGCCCCTGATATTTTGTTTTTGAAATAATTTGCAGAAAATTCGTGGACACCTGATATTTTCTGTTTGGAAAAACTTTAAAGAATCTTGAGGTTTCTAATCATTTTTTTTTAAGAATTGAAACGAATTTTGGTAGAAGGAGTCTTGTATTTTATTTTTGAATGAATTTGCTATTTTGTCTTTGGAAAACTTTGAAAGAATCGTAGGGCCTCTAGTGTATTTTTTAAGAATTTAAAAGAATCTTAGAGTAGCTAGCGTATTTGTTTTTATTGAAAAGAATCCCAAAATCACCTGATGTTAAATTTTTGAAAAAATTTCCAAAAATTTCGGAGCCCCTGATATTTTGTTTTTGAAATAATTTGCAGAAAATTCATGGGCACCTGATATTTTATGTTTGGAAAAATTTTAAAGAATCTTGAGGTCCCTAATCAATTTTTTTTTAAGAATTGAAACGAATCTTGGTAGAAGGAGTCTTGTATTTTATTTTTGAAAGAATTTGCTATTTTGTCTTTGGAAAACTTTGGATGAATCTTAGGTCCTCTAGTGTATTTTTTAAGAATTTAAAAGAGTCTTAGAGTAGCTAAAGTATTTTTTTAAGGAAAGAATCCCAAAATCACCAAGTGTTAAATTTTTGAAAGAATTTACAAAAATTTCGGAGCCCCTGATCTTTTGTTTTTGAAATAATTTGCAGAAAATTTGTGGACACCTGATATTTTATGTTTAAAAAAACTTTAAAGAATCTTAAGGTGTCTAATCAATTTTTTTTAAGAATTGAAATGAATCTTGCTAGAAGGAGTCTTGTATTTTATCTTTGAAAGAATTTGCTATTTTGTCTTTGGAAAACTTTGGATGAATCTTAGTGCCTCAAGTGTATTTTTTAAGAATTCAAAAGAATCTTAGAGTAGCTCGCGTATTTTTTTTTTTAAGAAAGAATCCCAAAATCACCAGGTGTTAATTTTTTTAAAGCAACTCCAAAAATTTCGGGGCCCCTGGTATTTTGTTTTTGAAAGAATTTGCAAAAAAATCGGGGATAATTGATAGTTTAAGTTTGGAAAAATTTTAATGAATCTTGAGGTCCCGAATGTCTTTTTTTAAGGATTTGAAAGAAACTCTAGAACATCTGGTGTTTTATTTTTGAAAGAATTTCAAAACATTTTGAGAACCCCTGGTATTTTGCATTTGGAAGAATTTTAAATAATTTTAAGGCCCCTAAGGTATTTTTTTAAGGATTTAAAAGAATCTTGGGGTAGCTAATGTCTTTTTTAGAATTTAATAGAATGCCGAGAACACCTAGTGCCTTATTTTTGAAATAATTTCAAAAATTTTCCGGGTGTTTTGTTATTGGAAGAGTTTATAACAAAATTTAAAAAATCTGGAGGAAGCCAAATGTTGTACTTTTGAAAAAATCACGAAGAATCCTAGAGGCCCCTAGTATCTGTTTTATTTATGAAAAAATTTTCTATTTTGTCTTTGGAAAACTTTGAAAGAATCTTAGGGTAGCTAGAGTATTTTTTTAAATGAAAAGAATTTCAAAATCAGCAGGTGTTACATTTTTTAAAGAATCACCAAAAATTTCGGAGCCCCTGGTGTTTTGTTTTTAAAAGAATTTGCAAAAAAAATCGGGGACACCTGGTCTTTTAAGTTTGGAAAAATTTTAAAGGATCTTGAGGTGCCTAATGCCTTTTTTTAAAAATTTGAAAAAAACATCTTGTGTTTTATTTTTTAAATAATTTCAAAACATTTTGGGGACCTTTCGTATTTTGTATTTGGAAGAATTTGAAATAGCTTTAAAAGAAAAACATTTTGTGTTTTATTTTTTAAAGAATTTCCAAAAATTTCGGGGCCCCTGGTGTTTGTTTTTAAAAGAATTTGCAAAAAAATCGTGGACACCTGGTATTTTAGATTTGCAAAAATTGAAGAGGATCTTGAGGTCCATAATGTCTTTTTTTAAAAATTTGAAAGAAACTCTAGAACATCTGGTGTTTTACTTTTGAAATAATTTTAAGGCCCCTAAGCAATTTTTTTAAGAATTTAAAAGATTCTTGGAGTAGCTAATGTGTTTTTTAGGTATTTAAAAGAATTCCGGGAACACCTAGGGTTTTATTTTTTAAATTGTTTAAAAAATCCGGGTATTTTGTTATTAAAAGAGTTGAAGGAGTCATTAAGGCTTCTTGTGTGTGTCTTGTTTATAACAAAATTTAATATATCTGTATTTTTGAAGGAATTTTTAAAAATCCCAGGGGTCCCTAATGTCTGTTTTATTTTTGAAACAATTTCCTATTTTGTCTTTGGAAAACTTTGAAAGAGTCTTAGCGTCTCTAGTGTCTTTTTTAAGAATTTAAAAGAATCTTAGAGTAGATAACATATTTATTAAAAAAAAATTCAAATACTTATCCCAGAATCTCGAGGTGTTAAATTTTTAAAAGAATTTCGAAAAATTTCGGGGTCCCTAGTGTTTTGATTTTGAAAGAGTTTCAAAGAATCATCGGCACTCTTGTGTTCGCCCTGTTTTTAAAAGAATTTTAAAAATCTCGAAGGCTCCAGGTGTTTTACGTTTGGAAAACTTTGAAAGAATCTTTGTATTTTTGAATAATTTAAACGAATCTTGGGGTTAGGAGAATTGTGTTTTATTTTTTGAAGAATTTGATAGAAATTTTGAGACTCTGTCTGTCCTTTTTTAAAAGAATTTAAAAAGTTTTGAGGAATCCAAGTGTTTTATTTTTGAAGGAATTGGAATGACCTCTGACGTGACTAAAAAATTTTAGAGACCCCTAATGTGTGTTTTTTTTTAATTTCAAGAACTATCGCCGGCTCTTGCTGCTTTGTGTTTGGAAAACTTTGAAAGAATCTTGGGGATTCTATTGTATTCTTTAAGAATTTGAAAGAATTTCGAAAATACTTGGTGTTCTATTTTTTAAAGAAACTCCTCATATTTTGTGTTTGAAATAATTTTAGAGAATCTTGAAACTTGAAACCTAAGAAATTTTCAGAACTCTTTGAAAGAAGAAGAAGAAGAAGAAAATTTGAAAGTATCTGTGGGACTCCTGGTGTCTCGTTTTTTGAAGAATAAAAAAAAAATTCTAGACCATTAAAAAATTGAACAAAAGCGTCGCCATTTGTTTTTGCCTCTAAAATATTGCAGAATAATAATCTCCTTCAAAACAACTAAGTACACGTTAATCCTACCAAGGAATTATTTCACCCTCAATTAGCCAAATTAGTTTCAAAATTTTGTAGTTTCAAGATTAATGTAACGTTGTGTTTTTGCCTTCCACACACAGACTTTTCTTAACATATGAAAATAGACGATTTTTTACGTTATGAATTAAACAAAACATCGAGGAAACATAAAGAAATAAACACAGACTTTTCTTAGCATGTGAAAATAGACGATTTTTTACGTTATGAATTAAACAAAACATCGAGGAAACATAAAGAAATAAATCTGTCAGTCGATGTGTTTAGTAACAAGAGGGAAAGAACAAAGGAAGCTAATTTAAAAACGAACCAACAATAAGTTAACATTGCTACACAATATGAATCAAATCTTTATTCAACAGATTTTACCCAGAAATGAGATGCCTTCGCACAATGTACTTTCCGTTAACGCAGATTTATCCTTTCAGTAAAAACAAAATAAAAGTGTTTGCTTTGTTTCCGCTGGTGCTTTTTTTCCGTTGCAGGTTTTTCAATTCGTTAAAACACCGAAAATGTGTTTACGAACATGCCTTTCAAGCAAGACTCATAACTTATTTAAATAAAATTTTCATTAAAGTATAAAAATTCGTCTGATTAGTAGGTAGACAATCGTAAATGCGTGATAGAAACGACCGTGTTCGCGCAGGCAACGTTAAAGGGTAAGCGTTGGCCCGAAAATGTTGGTAAAGTATTGACCGCACATCTCATATCAGTTTAATGTAACGGAAATATTTACATTTACATAACGTATGCTAGTATTAAGTATACAGCGCTACATTCCACGAAATAAAAATATTGCTATAAAATGTTAAAAGCATTTTTCCTTATGCTTATATGTATCTTCTCCCGCTCGCTCCCATCCTTCTTTCTAACAGAAAGGCAAATAATATCATAATGTTGCTTTAATATTTGCTTTTCAGAAGTCGCTGCCTTCACATTAACATAAAACGTATCTGTCTAATGTGTGTCTCTCATCCTTTACGTTTTACGACGGTGATAAACTCAAGTGTCTAGACTGTTTATGTTTTTATTTATTAACACTCGACGAAATTGAGAAAGCTATCATTTCGATCCGCGGGGATTAGCTTATTTTGCTTTTCATTTGCTTTAGAATGCAATTCCGCGGCAAGTAAGTAGAAATCAAGCTAATTGTGTTTTAATAATAACAGCGTGTGTCGCTTTACTCCGAACTCTCCCTTCGAGTATTAACGGAATGACAGGAATTTATTTCCACAGATTGAAATCGGCTAAAACACGAATAAAAGATGCGAATAACAAAGCATGTAAATATTAAGAGAAAAGAGCCGATTTTTTAGGCTCTGGCGGAACAATTGCCTTCTTTTCTTTCTCCTTTGGATAACCCCACAAGATCCCGTAATAAATTAACGAACCCTACGGGGTCTGACAAAGTCTGGGACCAATTTTGAATTTCGAGTTCCTTGCTGTAAAAAGAAACTAGCTTAGAGGATTTCAGAATTTGACACTAACATTTATCCATAATCCTCCTGTGGAATTTATGTCTTTATCAGAGCTTCGACAATTACCATATTTCAGGTTTATCGTTCCTGAATTAAATGTTTATGATAGCGATTTTTTGCGGAGCCGCAGGAGAAACAAACCGGGAAACTTGGTGAATATTAATTTAGTCGGTCGAGAGCATTTTTAGCTATTATTTTTGTAAAGTCTGGAATAATTAGTTTCACGTGTAAGTTCGTTAACTTCACACTAGTTGGTTTTTTTCCAGAGCCAGAAGCACGTTCCCGTAGTTCTTGGACTCATGCTGCTGGTTTTACCTTTCTTGCCGGCGGCTAATCTGGTTGTTACTGTAGGATTTGTAGTGGCTGAAAGAGTGTTGTATATTCCTAGGTATGTACACAGTTGCAGGGCGTCACTTTACATAATTACATTGTTGCTTTGATGTTTCAGTTTAGGGTGTACTCTATTAGTAGTGTACGGTATCCAGATATTCTGGAATTCTTATTCTAAACATCGCCAAACCATAGTTTGCTTTGTCATGTTGCTGCTCACGACGAGCTGTTTGAGGACGGTTATACGAAACAGGGACTGGAGATCCCGGGAATCTTTACTGAGGTAAGTATATAGCTAACGAGCGACGAAATACATAGACGATGTTCTCTTGTCTCGGGAATGTTCATTTGTGTGTTTGTTTGGGTTTTAAATCTGCAAAAAATACCAGACTGTCGACGACCGTTCAAAGAGCACGTGTGGTGTGTTATGAAACCGCCTAAGGTGAAAAGTCGTAAACTTGCCACCTATTTTGAAGTTTCTCGTATGAAAAGTCACGTTGCATCGCGGAGCTATGTGGCTGTACATATTTAATGTCGACGTGTCATAGTAGCTTAATGCTATTGCGATTTTATATACATTACATATTCTGTTCGGCTTAGAAACACACTTTGTGCTGGAGGTTTCCCTTACCGATGTGACACTGCGCTGTAAACTCTCCTTGATAATTTAATTATAGTCATAAAATGTTAAATACGTGAGTCAATTGGACAACTGAGTACGTTTATGTTTTGTCGACGTTTCATGACCTCTGGAGTACGACAAAATAGGTCCCCAGTTTCCGTCTGTCTCGCTGCCGTCTGTCAGGATTTTTGGGAAAAAAATCCAAATTTTATAACAATCTTTTACAATTTAACATTAAAGTTGCAAAAACCGAATCTAGCAAATATTTTTAAGTTATTGAAAACATGGTAAATCCTCAATCGAAATTTGTCCGTCATCTTACAATTCTGACGAACATATAAATGTTCTTCATGTTTATCAGTGTTTTTGAGAAAAAACTAAATCAAATTTCATTTTCTTTTAACCGCTGTTACTTGTAATCTGAACGGGCTAATAACCTTTGACGACGTTTTAAGTCCTGTTTTTTGTGTTTTTTAGCTCTTTTTTTGCTTATTTTCACCTTTTTCCTTCGCGTTTTCAAGCCTTTTTATCACCATTTTTTATAGTCTCTTATTTCGCCTTTTTTTGTCACTTGTTCTTGTTACTTTTTTCTCACCATTTTTTATCGTCTTTTTGGTGGATTTTCTGTCGCGTTTTTACTCCTTCTTTAATCGCTTTATTTTTTTTAGCTATTTTTCACTCGTCTCTCTTTTATATCGCTCGTTTAATTACATATTTTTACCATTTTCCCCCCTTTGTTTTTTTTTTCACCTTATCTTTTGACCTCTTTAGTTAAACCTTTGTGTGCCTTTTTTACGATATTTTGTTCCAACTTTTTTGCCACTCCTGTTTTTGTTACTTTTTGATGTTTTCTTTCGTCCGTTTCTTTGACTCATTTTCTCTCCGCATTTTCGTCATTTTTATTCTCTCTGCGATTTTGTCACTTGTTTTTATTACCTTTTTTTCACCTCATTTTTATCGTCTTTTTCGGCAGGTTTTCTGTCGCGTTTTTCCTCCTTTTTTATCCTTTTTTTTTATTTTTTTTTGCTACTTTTCCCGCCTTTTTTAGCTATTTTTCACTTTTTTTCTTCACTTGTTGTTCCGCCTTTTGTTTCCTCCTTTTTTGCGACTTTTGCTTTCAATACATTTTATCACCTTGTTCTTGTCTTTCTTTTCCTTTTTATGTAATTTTATATCGCTCTCGAAAAAATATTAAAAATACTTCTCACCTATTTTCATCGTCTTCTTTGTTAGGTTTTTTGTAGTGTTTTTATTCCTTTTTTAATCGCTTCTTTAATTTTTTAGCTATTTTTTACCATTTTGCACGCTTTTTTCTACCAGTTTTCACTTTTTTCCTTCACCTGTTTTTGTTGCGCCTTTTGTTTCGTTTTTTTTTTATAGTTTTTGTAACCTTGTTTTTGTCGCCTTTTTCTCGTCTTTTTTTATGTTTTTATATCGCTCTTTTAATTATTTCTTTAGTTTTTCCTTTTTTTTGGCCTTTTGCGTCAAGCGTTTGTCTCCCTTTTTTACCATATTTTATTTCACAAATTTCTCACTCCTGTTTTGATTACTTTCTTAGACTTTTCTTTTCATGCGTTTCTTTGGCTTATTTTGCCTTCGTCTTTTTGTGATTTTTATTCTTTCTGAGATTTTGTCACATTTTTGTCATTTTTTCCTTATAACTTTTTGTATGTTTTTTGTTACCTTTTATGGCTTTTTTTTATTATTTTTTCACCTTTTTGTCACTTTTCTTGTGTTCCTTTTTTGTTACTTTTTTATTGTTTGTTTGTCGTTTTTTTTTGCGCGTTCTGTTCCTATTTCGTCTTCTTTTTTTTTGGTACTTTTTTGTGGCGTTTTTTCCACTTTTTACCTTATTTCTCCGCCTTTTTATTTCCCCTATTTGTCATGTTTTCATTTCTGTTTTTGTTACTTTTTTGATGTTTTCTTTCATTTTTGTCTTTTTTATTCTTTCTGCGATTTCGTCACTTTTGTCTCGTCCTTGCATTGTGGCTTTCTGTGGGATTTTTATCCTCTTTTTTGGCTTCCTTCTTAATTTTTTGACCGTTTATGTCACTTTTCTTTTATTCCTTTTTTGTTCCTTTTTTATTTTTTGGCGCGTTTTTGGTGATTTTTTGTTCCCTTTTCGTCTATGGCCCTTTTTTTGTTTTTTTTTCAACCTTTCCCTTTTGTCCCATTTTGTCACCTTTATTTTTACTGCTTTTTTAGCGCCTTCTTTTTAGCACTTTATGTGGCATTTTTTCCCATTTTTTACCTTATTCCTCCGCCTTTGTGTTTCCCTTTTTTGTCATCTTTTCTTTCACCTTGTTTGTCACTTCTATTTTTCTCACTTTTTTGTTGTTGTTTTTCATCCGTTTCTTTGGCTCATTTTCCCTTCGGCTTTTCTCATTTTTGTTCTTTCTATCTGCGATTTCATCAGTTTTTTGTCGTCCTTTCATTGTGGCTTTTTTGTGCGTTTTTTGTTCCCATTTTGGTCTTTCTTATGAATTTTTTGGAGTTTTTTTCACCTTTTATCTCACTTTTTTTTAATTCCTTTTTTTATTGTTTTCTGTCCTTTTTTTGTTTTTTTTTTCAACCTTTCCTTTTGCCCAATTTTGTCACCTTCCTTTTTTTTACCTTATTCCTTCGCCTTATTCCTCCGCCTTCTTATTTCCCTTTTTTTTCATCTTTTGTTTCACCATTTTTGTCACTTCTGTTTTTATTACTTTTTTGATGTTTTCTTTCATCCGTTTCTTTGGCTCACTTTCCTTTCACCTTTTGTCTTTTTTATTGTTTCTGCGATTTCGTCACTTTTTCCTCACCTCGTGGCTTTTTTGTTCCCATTTTTGGATTTTTTTCTTAATTTTTTGGCATTTTTCTATTGTTTGTCGTGTTTTTTTGTCGCTTTTTGCGCGTTTTTTGTTCCCTTTTGTTTTTTCAACCTCCTTTTGTCCAATTTTGTCACCTTTATTTTTACTTCTTTTTTATAGCACTTCTTTTTGGCACTTTATGTGATTTTTTTTTACCTTATTCCTTCGATTTTTTTTTTTTCTTTTTTTGTCATCTTTTTTCACCTTTTTCGTCACTTGTGTTTTTGTTACTTTTTTGATATTATCTTTCATCCGTTTCTTTGCCTCATTTTCCTTTCGCCTTTTGTCATTTTTAATCTTTCTACGATTTCGTCACTTTTTTGTTGTCCTTTCATTGTGCCTTTTTATCCATTTTTTGTTCCCATTTTGGCTGTTTTTATTAATTTTCTGCGTTTTTTTTTTTCACCTTTTTTGTCACTTTTCTTTTGCTGCTTTTTTGTTACTCCTTTATTGTTTGTTTATCGCCTTTTTGGCGCTTTTTTGGCACTTTTTTTGTTCCTTTTTCGTCTTCTGCCCTAATTTTGTATTTTTCAACCTTTTCCTTTTGCCTAATTTTGTCACCTTTATTTTTACTGCTTTTTTATAACGCCTTCTTTTTGGCACTTTTTTGTGGCGTTTTTCATTTTTTTTTTCTTATTCCTCTGCCTTTTTATTTCCCTTTTTTCTCATCTTTCCTTTTACCTTTTTTGTCACTTCTGTTTTTGTTACTTTGTTTGATGTTTTCTTTCATTCGTTTCTTTGGGTCATTTTCCTTCCGCCTTTTGTTGCTTTTTTGTTACTTTTTAATTGTTTGTTGTATTTTTCGCGCGTTTTTGTCCCCTTTTCGTCTTGTGCTCTTTTTTGTTTTTTTCGACCTCTTCTTTTTGCCCAATTTTGTGACCTTTATATTTACTGCTTTGTTAGCACATTTTTGTGGCATTTTTTTCCGATTTTTCACCTTCTTTTTTTGTCATCTTTGTTTTTGTTGCTTTTTGATAACTTTTTTGTTCTCTTCTTTGTCGTATTTCGTGATTTTTGGTTTCGTTTTATAGTCTTTTAATTTTTTTGACGCTTTTATTTCACTATTTTTTTTTCGTTTCCGTCTGCCTGTCGTGCGCCTATCAGTTTGTCTATCTTTGTCCATTTTTATTAAACAGATAATCTCCGAAACTACCTAACTGATTGTTGTCAAATTTTGTATGTATATTAAGACTACCATGTACATGGTAATACGCTAACCAAAATTTGGCTAATCTTCCACACTACCAATGGGATGACGTCATTTCCAAGAAGTTTTCACTCTTGACATCCAGATTTTTGGAACAATTGTATAAAAATATTTTACAATTTACTTATTTAGGATTATCAATGTACCTAATCGTAGTTTTTAGAATTTTTATTGTATTTTTTTTAACTTATAAGGGCTATCATAAAAAAATAAAATTCGCAAAATCAGTCTTATAATTTTTCGACAACTCTAGATTTTATGACCATTTTTTTTCTGCATGTAATCTAGTTAACTTAGCACAAACTTAACTACAATAACACAGAATCAATGCATTTCAATTTTGGAAAAAATTGAAACAGAGGGGAAACGTTACAAACTCTCATTTGCGGTTTTCATTTGAAGGCCGCTTTTTACTTTATCACAAATTACAAAATTCTGAAAATTACCAAGCCGTGATACGTTAAAGGAAACAAATTGCTGCTAAAGTTATGCAGAATAATTAAGCTTTTAGATGCAAATTTGTTATAAATGTATTGATCAGTCGAAATTTATTCTAGAAGTTTGTTCAAAATTATTAATGTTTTAGTAATTAGTTGTAAAATTTGTGAAGAGGTTTTGTGCTTTAACATTTTTAAGAGGAAATAAATTTTATTTATTAGTAAATAAAGTTCTAAGCTATTTGCTTCCGAAATTCGCTTATTTAACACAGTTCATTGTTTAAGTGTCTCTAGTTACCTGAAATTTTGTAACTAAACTTTATTGTTTGGTGAAAATTTTGCATCTGTTTGTAATTTAAATTTTCAGATTTTAAATTTATGGAGCCGTCAGTTGTCAAAATTGTGACGAAATAAATAAGCTGAAAGTTATTGTATTTAGCAAGTGGAAATTATGGTGAAAGATTTATGCGGAATATTTTAGTGCTTTATGTAGACAGCTTATGAAACATTTATAGCTAGCCATAAATTTTTAATAGAAAATTATTACAGAAACTTCTTTGAAATAAAGCTAGGAAAGCTGGAATAAGTAGTCATTTTTATAATCAAATAACAGTGCGCCTGCTTTCACTCGTCGTTTCAAACGCCACTCTCTAGACATTATAGGACGACTTAATGCTCTTTTCACCCATTCATGAGTAGTTTTTCTAGTGAATGGGACTCTTATTTAGGATTTTCCTCTCTCCGCAGCCGCACAACTCCGCCAGATAATTGCTTTAATTAAAATTCCCCAAACAAACCGAAAAGAATCTCCCAAAAATAATATTTGCCGATGAAATCAACCCCCAATGTAAATTCCCGTTTTCCCAGGGCGGGGTTAATGACGCTGCCCCACAACGCCAAGATGCATTACAACTACGCGAATTTTCTCCGGGATTCGGCACGGCCCGAATTAGCGAAGTCTCATTACCACAAAGCTTTGAAGTGAGTATCCGTTGAGCCCCGATTCGAGCCCCATCTATGCAGCCAAATCAATTACAGATTATGGCCCACTTATGCAAGCGCCCACAATAATTTGGGTACCTTATTAAGCGACGAACAAGAAGCGGAACAGCACTTCCTGGCGGCCATCCGATACTCGGCTGACCACGTCAACGCTCATTACAATCTGGGCCAGCTCTATAGGTAAAGCTTAAAGTGCATAATTCCAACTTGATATAATTAATTCAGTGTGGCTTTGCTAAATGTAAATGTGTTCAATAATTAATGCGCTGCGCCCGACAACGGACTTGGAGTTAGTTTTAGCATAAGTGCCTTCGTAATTTTGCCGAGTGGCTGGGTATTCGTGACGGTCTTCGTTTTTTTTTTGCAGGAAATCCAACAGGACGATGGAATCGGAACGGATGCTCAAGAGGTGCATCGGTCTGGAGCCGAGGTTCACGCCGGCATACATTGAGTTGGCGAGGCTTCGAGGACCGAACGACAGGAGCGTCGGCGGGCTGTTGAGGAAAGTTGTTATTCTAAATCCGCGTGATCCCTATTATAGTACGATTTACGGCCACTGGCTGCTCGGCAAAGGTAACGTTCAATTACAAATGTTCGTTTTTCTTTCTTCCCACAGATAAAAAAGTCTTTTTCTGAGTTTTAGATTATTCGGATCTCTTTGCCGCTGTAGTTCCCATTCAGTTTTTTTTTTTTTTGATCACAAACTCACAAACAAACAAAAACATTGTTTCTACGAAATGCTTAAACATAGACGACGTCTCTTGCAAACTCGAAATACAAAAATCTGGAACTACGTGAAGCATTCGATTTATAATTCAAAAGTACTAATGGACGTAACCGAATCTGTTTACCCGTTATATTGTAAAATTCTGCTCTTTTTATAACATCAAGTTTGCCAAAAAATTTTTCATGTCAGCTCAGTTTTCATGTATTAGATAACCTAAGAAACTATTGCTTTAAAATTGTCGTTTTTTGATTTGCCCTAGGGCAGTTTTCGTCGTCCTCATTGTTTCATTTTAATTCCAATTTTCAATTCTATTTACCACAATTCTGTTGGTTCTCATTGTTATTGTTATTCTCATTCCTTTCCTCATGTCCATTCTCAGTATTCTCCTCTGCAATGTTTTCTATTTCGTTTTCATTCTTTTTATCTTTCTAATTTAGTTCTCATTCACATTGTCGTTTTCTGTAATTGTTTTTGTTCAAGTTTTCGTTTTGCATTCTACTCATTCTTATTGATATTTTCTTATTGTCTCTAGTTCTCGTTCTAGTTCTTGTTTTCAGTTTAGATCTAATTTCCGTTCCCACTCCCATTCTTACTCTCACTCTCATTGTGATTCTTATTTTCATTCTCATTCTTCTTGCCGTATTTGTTCTCCAATTTTCAATCTTGTTTCCATTTCCCCTGATGTGCCTATTTTCATTTTTGTTCGACTCATTTGCATTCCGGTTCTTATTCTTGTTGTCATTTTCGTGGTTATTCTGATTCGTATCATCGTTTTCCTTTCCTGTGTCGTTCCCACTCTCTACCTCGTTCTCATTGATTCATCATCTATCCTTCTCTCATTCTCCCTCCTATTCCCCTTATTTTGGTTTTTGTTCTTTCCTTCGTGTTTAAATTCTCTACTTGATTCTGATTCTCGTTCTCATACTCTCTCTCATTCTCATTTTTCATCTCATTCTCCTTGTCATCCTCCATTTCTTTCCCATTTTCGTCTTATTCCCGTTTTTATTTTAGATTTTATTCTCGTCCCCATTTTCTTTTTCCCTCAATTCTTCTTCTAGTTTAGGTTATCCTTATGATTGCGGTTCTCATTCTATTTCATGTTTTTTTTCATTCTCATTCTTTCTCCCACTCTGGTTCTCATTCCCACTCTCATTCTCATTCTTCTTGTCGTATTTATTATCGTCCTGGATTTTGTTCTTCTTCTCATCCTGGATTTTGTTCTTCTTCTCGTTCTGATTCTTGCTAACATTCCCCTTCTGATTCTCATGCCCATTCTAGTTTTCGTTCTTATTTTACATCTCGTTCTTATTCTCGTTGTCATTTTCGTTGTTGTTCCCATTGTTATTACTATTTTTGTTCACTGCATCGTTCCCGTTCTCAATATTGTTTCCTCTGTATTTCTTGTTATGGTCTTGTTTTTCTCCTTGTTTATTATTATATTATTTTGTTTTCGAACTCGTTCTCTGTCCTAGTTTTTATTTTCATTATCATTCTTATTCTTCTTCTCATTGCCCTTCTCATTGTCTTTCTCATTCTCCTCTTCATTCTCCTTCTCATTCTCCTTTTCATTCCCCTTCTCATTCCCCTTCTCATTCCTCTTCCCATTTCCCTTCTTATTCTCCTTCTCAATCTTCTTCTCATTCTATTTCTCATTCCTCTTCCCGTTCCCCTGCTCATTCCCCTTCTCTTTCCTCTTCTCATTCCCCTTCTCATTCCCCTTCTCATTCCCTTTCTCATTCCCCTTCTCATTCCCCTTCTCATTCCTCTTCCCATTTCCCTTCTTATTCTCCTTCTCAATCTCCTTCTCATTCTTTTTCTCATTCCTCTTCCCGTTCCCCTGCTCATTCCCCTTCTCATTCCCCTTCTCTTTCCTCTTCTCATTCCCCTCCTCATTCCCCTTCTCATTCCCCTTCTCATTCCCCTTCTCATTCCTCTTCTCATTCCCCTTCTCATTCTCAGTCTCCTCATTCTCCTTCTCATTCTACTTCTCATTCTTCTTCTCCTCATTCTCCTTCTCATTCGCATTCTCCGTCTCATCCTCCTTCTCATTCTACTTCTCAATCTCCTTCTCTTTGTCGTTCTCATTCTTCTTCTCGTTCTTTCTCCTTCTCATTTTCCTTTTCATTACCCTTCTCATTTCCCTTCTCATTCCTGATCCCATTCCCCTTCTTAGTCTCCTTTTTAATCTCGTTCTCATTCTCCTTCTCATTCTATTTTTCATTCCTCTTCTCGTTCCCTTGCTCATTCCCCTTCTAATTCCCCTTCTCATTCTCCTTCTCATTCCCCTTCTCATTCCCCTTCTCACTCTCCTTCTCATTCTCCTCGTCAATCCCTTTTCATTCTCATTCTCAATCTCCTCATTCTCCTTCTCAATCTCCTTCTCTTTGTCCTTCTCATTCCCTTTCTCATTCTCCCCCTCATTCTCCTTCTCAATCTATTTCTCATTTTTCTTTTCATTCCCCTTCCCCTTTCTCATTCCTCTTCCCATTCCCCTTCTCATTCTCCTTCTAAATCTTCTACTCATTCTCCTTTTCATTAGTGTCCTCATTCTTCTCTTCATTTTCGTTCTCATTCTCCATCTCATTCACGTTCTGATCCACATTTTCATTATCAATATCTTTTTCACTCTCTTTCTCATTTTCCTTCTCATGCTTCTTCTCACGCTCCTTCTCAATCTCTTTCTCATTCCTCTTCTCATTTTCGTTCTCCTTCTTATTCTCCTTCTCATTCCCCTTCTCATTCTTCATCTGATTGGCCTTCTCTTTCTCTTTCTCATTCTCCTTCTCATTCTCCTTCTTATTCTCCTTCTCTTTCTCTTTCTCATTCTTCTTCGCATTCTCCTTCTCCTTCTCATTCCCCTTCTCATTCCCCTTCTCATTCCCCTTCTCATTCCCCTTCTCATTCCCCTTCTCATTCCCCTTCTCACTCTCCTTCTCATTCTCCTCGTCAATCTCCTTTTCATTCTCCTTCTCATTCTCAGTCTCCACATTCTCCTTCTCATTCTACTTCTCATTCTTCTTCTCCTCATTCTCCTTCTCATTCGCATTATCCGTCTCATCCTCCTTCTCATTCTACTTCTCAATCTCCTTCTCTGTGTCCTTCTCATTCTTCTTCTCGTTCTTTCTCCTTCTCATTCTCCTTTTCATTACCCTTCTCATTCCCCTTCTCATTCTATTTTTCATTCCCCTTCTCATTCCCCTTCTCATTCCCCTTCTCAATCTCCTTCTCATTCCCCTTCTCACTCCCTTTCTCATTCTCCTCGTCAATCTCTTTCTCAATCTCCCTCTCATTCCCTTTCTCATTCTCCTTATAATTCTCCATCTCATTCTCTTATTAATTCTTATTCTCATTCTTGTTTTCATTCATGTTTCCATTTTGAATGGTATTCTCATTTTGGTTTTTGTTCTTCTTTCTTATTTACATTTTATTTTTAGTTCTAATTTTCTTTTGTCTTCTCATTCTCCATCTGATTCTCATCCTCGTTGAAATTATAGTTCTCATTCCTGCCTTCGCTCTCACTCTGGTTCTCATTCTTATTTTTGCTCCATTCTCTCTTGCTCTCATTCTGTTTGACATTTTATTCACATTCTAATACTCATTATTGTTCTCGTATTTGGTCTCATTTTGGTTTTTATTCTTCCTTTTATTTACATTCTCATTCTGATTCTTGCTTACGTTCTCCTTCTCACACTCATTCTTGTTTTCGTTCTCATTCTTCATCCCATTCTCATTTCCGTTGTTATTCTCATTCTTATTATCATGTTCGTTCGCTTATCATTCTCGTTCCCAACATTGTTTTCACTCTTCGTTTTCATTGTCACCCCCCATTTCGTTCCCATTCTTCTTCTTATTCTCGTTCTTATTTTGATTTTTGATTTTCTCCTTGTTGTTTTTCTCTATTTCGTTCTCGTACTATCTCTCATTCTCATTTTCATACCCGTTCTCCTTTATGGTTTTCATTTTCATTGTTCTTCCCATTTCCCATTTCCCATTTCGTTCTCTTTATCATCCTCCATTTGCTTTTCTCGTTCTCGTTTAGGTTGTCTTTATGATTGTGTTTTCATTCTAATTCTAGTTTTTATTCTTATTCTAGTTCAAATTATAGTTCTCATTCTGGTTCTCATTCTCATTCTCAGTCTCCTTCCCATTCTCATTTTTATCCTAGTTTTCATTTGTGTTTACATTCTTGTTCTGTTCCTCTTTTTTATTCTCATTCCTTTTCGCGTTCTCAATCTTATACTGATTCTAGTTCTCAATCTCCTTCTTGTTTACATTGTGTGTTTCGTTCTCATTCTCGTTCTAATTCTCGCTCTAATTCTCCTTCTCATATTCTTTCGCATTCTGGTTCGGCTTGTCATCCTCCATTTCCTTCCTCTTCTTGTCCTATTCTTGTTCTTTTAGGTTTTACTGTTCCCTTTCTAATTTACATTCTCGTTCTCATTCCGCTTTTCGCTCTATTCTTCTTGTCGTTTTTATTCTCCTTAACGTTGTCTCATTCTAAATCTAGTTTTCATTTTCGTTCAAAATTCTGACTCTTGCTCTCATTCTGCTCCTCATTCTCATTCTTATTCTAATCATCGATTTCACTGTTGTTGTCGTATTTGTTCTCAATGTGGTTTTTGTTATCGTCCTCCTCATTTACATTCTGATTCTGATTCTCACGCTCATTCTAGTTTTCGTTCCAATTTTCCATCTCGTTCTTATTCCCCTTCCCATTTTCGTTGTTATTGTCATGCTTTTTATCATGTTCGTTCCCTGTATCGCGCTCGTTCCCAATATTGTTTCCACTCTCCCTCTGGTTCTCATTGTCTTCCTCTATTTCATTCCAATTCTTCTTGTTCTAGTTCTTTATTTTGGTTTCTGTTTTTCTCCTTTTTGTTTGCATTCTTTATTTCGTTCTCATTCTCGTTCACATACTATCTCACATTCTCATTCTCATACCGCCTCTCATTCTGGTTTTCGCACTCGTTCTCTTATCTAATTTTTATTCTCATTATCATCCTCATTCTCCATTTAGTTTTCTTTGTTATTCACCATTTTTTTCCATTCTCGTCTTATTCACATTGTCACTTTAGGTTTCTGGTTCACGTTCTCATTTCTTCTTATCCTAGTTTTTATATGTTCTGTTTCCAATGATATTTTTTTGATTTTTGTTTACATTCTCGTTCTCAATTTCTATCTTGTTCTTATTCTCATTTTTGTTTTTGTCTTTGTTTGATTTCTCTATTTCGTTTTCTTTCTCGTTCTAATTCTCGCTCTCTGTGTCGTTGTCATTCTTGCTCTCATTCTCGCCCTAATTCTCGTTTTCCTACTTTCTCATTGTCATTCTCCTTGTTATTCTTATCTTATTCTTGTTCTCATTTTTCGTACTTTCTCATTCTCATTCTCCTTGTCATCCTCTATTTCCTTCTTATTCTTATCTTATTCTTGTTCTCGTTTTAGGTTTTCTCTTCTTCTTATTCCATTTTTTATCTATTATTATTGTCCTTTTATCCTCGTTTAGGTTCGTTCTTATTCTCCATCTGGTTCCCATATTGGTTTATTCTCACTCTTGTTATAATTTTCATCTTCTGTGTCGTTCTCATTTTCATTCTTATGCTTATACGCATTTTCTCTCTCATTCTCGTTTTATTTTTACTTCTCATTCTCACTGTCGTTCTCATTCTCTTTATCATACTTTCTTTCATTCTTCTTCTCATTTTGATTCTTATTTTTCTCCTCTTCATCATTCACATTCTCTTCCTCATTCTCGTTTTATTTTTCTTCTCGTTCTCAACAATCTCTTCATTTTAGCTCTTATTTTTATTCTCCTTGTTGTTTACCTTCAGTACATGATACCCGTTTTCTTTTTTTACCTTTCGTTCTTCTTCTCCTTTTCTTTATCGGCCTCGAAAAAAATATGTATATAGTTTCATTTTCGTTTTCAAAGTTTCGTTGGAAAAATGAAAATTCGTACACTTATGTTGGCTTTTTTGTAATAATAGTATGGTGCTACGCCATTTTCGCTTAATTAATTAGCCTTATTCACACTCGCATCTTTCTTTTTTTGGCACACCCTGTATAAGTCGCAATGAAACCGAACCGGAGAATAATAACCCGTCATTACAGGTAACCCAATGACGGCCCTCCACTACTACTGGAGAGCCCTCTCCGTGTGCACCTCCTACGACGAATCCATGATGGGCGCCGCCAAAATCCTCCGCAAATTCGGGCAAAGTTCCCGCCTGTTCCAGCTCGTAACGAGGTGGGATTCCTCCGGATTTTTAAATGACTTCTCAAGTTGTCACCTCTAACTTTTTTATAGATGGCAGTCAATCTTACGAATACGAAGAGGTGAACAGCCCATAAGCCCACACGTTTATTTGCATGGATGGCAGCTCAAGAGCGAATTGAGCCATAAAGCAAAGGCCTACGACAACTGCAGCACCCTGTTATTTGTAAGTCTTCTTTGTAACTCTAATAAATTCCCCCGTATTGTTTTGCTAGACGAATAAAACCCCAAAGTGGCGGCTTGCAGCTAAAGTACCATCGTAAAAGCCACTCGAATTGTTTTGGTACTTGATTACGCGGTTTATGGACGAGGAGCACGATCGGAAGAACAAAGCACGATTTTTTTCTTCGTTCTGTCTTTCGTAGAAAAATCCGCCGCAAACTGTTGTTAATTTATAAGATTCGCCGTGAATAATTTAGAAGCTCGGTGGCGGAGTTGCAGACAAAGCGGGATTTCAGCTACAGTTGATTTTCTCTTTCAGGGAAACCGCTGCGGACAGGCGTCTTCAAAAAAGAAGATTGCGGCCGGCGAAGAGCTGACGAATAAATGGACGCGACAAACCAGCAACAAGACCAAATACCACACGATGAAGCAGTGTAAAGTGCAGCAGAAGCTGCACAAACAGAGACCGACGACGCCCTTGATGGTTCAACACTTTCTGGACTGAGTCGCTTAGATAATTAAAGACTTAAGTGACCAGACTTAAATAGTGCATTTGTTGTTTTTTGACTCAACTGTGACTTTGCATTTTTGTAAATGAGTGATTTTGTGGTTTTTTGGTTTTGTTACGTTGGAAGAAAGTGACCACTAGAGGGTTGTTTTAGCTATATTAAGGTCCAAAACAGGGAGAAGTCTACTTTTACACGAATTTTCAGTACAAATGGTTTTCGTTGAAGGGTATGAGTGAAATTAATATCTACAGAAAATAGAGTTAAATTATGGGAAATTATATATAAATATGGTGATCTTCGCCGCCGCTGTTTACGGAACTCTTCTAAATTCTAATTCTAAAAATACTAGAGAGGGAAAAGTATACAAGTGCAAAAATTTTACACTGCAGGAGCTACTCAAAATAAATTTTATAACCTAAAACTTAATATTTTACATTTACGTTTAGTACAGTTTTTAATTGTGGCTTTGACGTTCCCAAATTCCTTGAGAGTATGACGTTTAATATGTTGTTTAATTGAAATATACAGGATGTCCCACGTACAACTGATATACCGCGTGGTGGATTTTATTTTTTGAAAATTAATAAATTATTGTTAATTTTCCAAAGTTTTTCAAAAGGGCATTTTTTCTCATTTACGTCCTACTTTTGATTTTCGTTGTCATTCTAATTCTCCATTTTCCTTTGCATTCTTCTCCTTATTACTCCTTATACTCCTAAATATATATGAATGTTTGTAAATTTTTCAAGGAATTTCCAAAAAAACCTTCATATTTTTTTTTAATGACTACTACAAATAATGGCGTATACAAAATTTTAACACCTCAATTTATTTTTTTGGTCAAGGTGTTTTTCAGTTCGCTTTTCAGTAATGAGAAATAAAATCACCGTAAAAATCCTTGTATAAAATTATATACTACCACTAAAAAATAACACTAGTAGAATATACAGGGTGATCGAAAATGGTGCAATTCAAAAGTCAAAGTTTCGAAAAAATCATTAAATTTAACCACTTCCAAAATTATTTCGAATCATGAAAATTCCCTCGATTTCAATAAGTTGTGAATTAAATTATGTTCTAGGCATTATTCGGGGCTGTAGAATTTTTAGCCCGAGGCGAAGCCGAGGGTTACAAAAATATTTACAACGATCTAAAATTCAGCACTCGAGATTTCCAAATAAGTACGAGTCGAGGCCGACAGGCAATAATCTAACAAATTGTGATCCAAAAATTTTTTTAGTCCGAGGCGCAGCCGAGTATCATAAAAATATTTACAACAATCTACTCAGGGATCACAACATAGCATTTGAGATTTCCAAATAACTCCGAGGCGAAGCCGAGAGTTACAAATAGACCCAAGGCAGAGCCAAGACTGGTAATAAGGTTCATAATAATCCAAAAAATGCGAATATTTTTTAAACTCTCGACTTCGCCTCGAACTTATACGGAAATCAACATTAACTCAATCGTAAAATATCTTTTTCCTAAAAATGGTGTTCCTTTTAATTATTTATAGCAATAATCCAAATATTTTTTCAGACCTAGATTTTTTTCTCGAGGCGAAGCTGAGGCTTACAAAAATATTTATAGTATATACAATAATTGCAAACAGAACTTAGGCGGAGCCGGGAGCTACAAATCTGCTCGAGACGGAGTCAACAGTTGAAAAAATATTCACAATAATCTAGAAAATTTTTAATATATTTAGAACTCTCGCCTTCGGCTCGGGCGTATTTGTAACTCTCGGCTTCGCCTCGAACTTACATGGAAACTGACATAAACTCGAACATCTTTTAGATAAAAATCGTGTTCTTTCAATTGCCTACGCCAATGACCTAAACATTTTTTCAGATCTATAGATTTTTCAGGCCGAGGCGAAGCCGAGGGCTGCAAAAAGACTTACAGTGAACTAAATAAATTACATAAATATTCAAAAGGTCGAAAATTTAACGATTACGAAGCCGAGATTTTCAAATAAGTGGCAGAGCCAAGAATTGTAGTAATGTTCACAATAATCTAAAAAAATGCGAATATTTTTGAAACCCTCGCCTTCGCCTCGAGCTCATATGGAAATCGACAATTTTCTTTCAATTACCTATAATCCAAATCTACAAAAATTGTATACTCATTGAAAAGGTCGAAAACTCGGCGAATATAAGATAGCATTCGAGATTTCCAAATAAGTGCGAGGCGAAGCCGAGAGTTGCAAAAACACCCGAGGCGGAGCCGAGAGTTACAAATATATACAAGGTGGAGCCAAGAATTGCAACAATGTTCTTAATAATTTAAAAAAATGTTAATATTTTTAAACTCGGCTTCGTCTCGGGCGTATTTGTTTGTAACTCTCGGCTTTCTTTCAATTTTCTCTCAATTATCTATAATCCAAATCTACAAAAATTGTATACTCATTGAAAAGGTCGAAAACTCGGCGATTACAAGATAGCATTCGAGATTTCCAAATAAGTGCGAGGCGAAGCCGAGGGTTACAAATATATCCAAGGTGGAGCCAAGAGTTGTAACAATGTTCATAATAATTTAAAAAAATGTGAATATTTTTAAACTCGGCTTCGTCTCGGGCGTATTTGTTTATAGCTGTCGGCTTTGTCTCAAATTTATAGGGAAATCGAGATTAACTCAATTGTCAAACATCTAAAAATTGTATTCCCTCAATTTTCTATAACAATGATACGAATATTTTTCCAAACGTATAGATTTTTAGCCCGAGGCGAAGGTGAGGGTTACAAAAATAGTTACAGTATATAAAAAAATTGCATAAATGCCAACAGTTATAAAAATATTCACAATAATCTAGAAAATTTTGAATATTTTTACAACTCTCGCCTTCGGCTCGAGCGTATTTGTAGCTCTCGGCTTCGCCTCCAACTTACTTGTATATAAAAATTGACATTAAATTGTGTTCTTTTAATTGCCTACGCCAATGATCCAAATATTTTTTCAGATCTATAGATTTTCCAGGCCGAGGCGAAGCCGAGAATTAAAAAATATTTACATAAATTGCATAAATATTCAAAAGGTCGAAAATTCAGCGATTACGAAATCGAAGTAGAGATTTCCAAATAAGTGCGAGGCGAAGCCGAGAGATACACAAAAACCCGAGGCGGAGCCGAGAGTTACACAAAAACCCGAGGCGGAGCCGAGAGTTACATATATGTCCAAGGCGGAGCCAAGAGTTGTAACAATGTTCACACTAATCTAGAAAATTGCGAATATTTTTTAAATTCTCGGGTGTATTTGTAACGCTCGGCTTCGCCTCAAACTTATATGGAAATCGACAAAAACTCAATGGTCAAACTTCTTTTTACTAAAAATTGTATTCCATACAATTCATAGCAATAATTCAAACATTTTTCAGTCCTATAGATTTTTAGCCCGAGGCGTAGCTGAGAGTTACAAAAATATATAGTGATTACAAAAATTGCATAAATGCGATTACTGAATCGCTTTGTAAATTTCCGAAAAAGTGCGAACCGAAACCGAGAGTTACAAATCTACCCGAAAAATTTTGAATATTTTTACAACTCTCGCCTTCGGCTCGAGCGTATTTGTAACTCGGCTTCGCCTCGAACTCATATGGAAACTGACATTTACTCGAACATCTTTTTGATAAAAATCGTGTCCTTCAGTCGCCTACACTAATGATCCAAACATTTTTTCAGATCTATAGATTTTTTAGGCCGAGGCGAAGCCGAGGGTTACAAAAATATTTACAGCGATCTACATAAACATTCAAAAGGTCGAAAACTCAGCGATTATATATGTCCAAGCCAGAGCTAAGAGTTGTAACAATGTTCACACTAATCTAAAAAAATCGAATATTTTTAATCTCGACTTCGTCTCGGGTGTATTTGTAACTCTCGACTTCGTCTCGAAGAAATCGACATAAACTCAATCATCTAACATCTTTTTCCTAAAAATATTATTCCTCAGTTATGATGAGCAAAACATTTTTCAGACCTATAGATTTTTAGCCCCAGACGAAGCTGAGGTTACAAAAATACTTACAGTAAGTACAAAAATTGCATAATCGCTTTTTCCAAAAAAGTGCGAACCGATGCCGAGAGTTACAAATCTGCCCAAAGAGAAATATTCACAATTATCTAAAAAATTTTGAGTATTGTTACGTTGATCAGTGAATTAAAACCGGCGTGGGTTAAACTCAACAATTCATTTCTTGCTAACTCGGATTTGCACTACTAATTACAGAGCGATTATATACAAAATAATTCCGACGTAACTTGTCTTCGCTCTCGTTGTTTGGACTACTCTAACTGCTCTTCTTGAAACGCGTAGGTCACCGCCTCTAGACTTCTCTGGAGCACACAATTTTGTAGTTTTATGCCACATTGTGTTTTTTTTAGAAATTTAGTGTCTCAAAAATTGTCAAAGTCCTTCATGGTGTGGGCCATGAAATTAATTTTTAAAAATTCTTAGTAGTACACAAAAATTAAGTCACCACGGAACTAATGGTTTACAAATTAACATCTTAAGTCCATTGACAGCGATGACGTGAAGTTTTTAGTAGCTATTTTTTCACAAATTTTCCATTTTTAATTATTCACTTTTCGATTTTTCAATTTTTGACGTCTTCAATTTTTCAAACTGCGTTTTTTCAATTTTTGTTTTTTTTTATTAGTATTTGCTAAGATAAAACTGATTTCGGCAAATGACATATCCTCTAAGAAAGAGCGGGCGGGTGGGCGGGCCTGATACATGCTAAGATAAGATTAATTTTGGCAAATCACATACACTCTAAGAAGATAGAGGGCGGGTGGGTGGGGCTAGTATTTGCTAAGACATGACTGCAAAGTAATAAGTGTAGTCACTGGAATGAAGGGGAAGTCAGTGGGCGGGGTTATTACTTGCTTACAAGACTCTTAAGAAAATACTTAAACTCAGCTCCGCCCACCCTTTCTCTCTATTTGACTGACTTATTTTATTTTCTGTACACTGGAAATTGAATTCTATTTTGACAAGAGGAAGAATCTAAGATTTAAAACAAGTCAAAAGTGTCCATCCACCCGTCCGCCCTCTATTTTCTTTGATGGTACGTCATTTGCCAAAATCAGTCTTATCTTAACAGGTACTAACCCCACCCACCCACCCTCTGTTTTCTTAGGGGGTATGTCGTCTGCCAAAATCAGTCTTACCTTAGCAAGTACTAGTGACAATGAGTCATCGGCGACGTACATACGAGAACCCATAGGCGTCGTACCGGGGCAGGGTAATTAAAACCAATCTACCCTCTTCTTGTAAAAAATTGGTTGCTTCAATTCCCTACGCCAATGGTCCAAACATTTTTTCATTTCATTTCATTGATCACCCTGTATATCAAACTAAGTTTCCCCTGCTAATTATGTCATTTTTATTATTTCTTGAGGTATGCGACCTTGTAATTTTACATTTCTTTACATTATTGAATAGTGTTTTGGACCATAACTCAATTTTAAAAGAGTTATTTTTAATTTAGAGCTGTCAATTTACCACTGGAAACTGGATACTATCAAGATTTGCCGCACACCTGACAGTAATTTTTACTAGTGGTGATAAAGTGATTCCTGTGTCAACAAAGCGGCAAATTCAATGCTTACTTTGATACGTGGTAAGTTTGTATTAAAAAATGTACATGACGTCATACTCAAAACTTAATTACGTCATAGACAAACAACGTCAAACACAATTGAAGAACTTGTTTGGATTGTTTTGGTAAAATATTGTCAGTTTTTAAATTACAAAAGAGTTTTCATACTATACAGGAATATGAAAAATATTTTTCTTATTTATTATTATTACATAGGCATTAAGTGGGCTCAACTTAAATCTGAAATTTAACGTTATATTTTTGCACATTATTTTAATATACCACGAAGGAGACTGTTTAGGTGCTGAAAGTCAAATGATGGATGCCGTCGACAATTTATTTTATACAGTGTGTTTCATCTCATTCCACAAAAAAAGCTTACCTGCATAAAATATAAATTTTGTTTTTATTTAGATTTTCACTGAAACAGTTGCTAACATTAAAGAAAATTAATAATTCGCTTGAGATGAAACCGTTCGAATATACAGAGTGTTTATAGTTTCAGTTTAATTATAGTTGCGGTTGTTTTGAGTACACCTAGTTTACCTTGATAAGCTGACTTTTAAATTCGCTAAATGTCAGCTCATGAAAATAAACGAGGTGTAAAAAATTTGTTTCGCCAACGTTGACTACAATGCCTGCCATCCTGTCGAACTAAATTATAAATAAGAATTGAAACCACAAAGGGACAAAGCCAAACACTTTGTGATATAAATACTCGAAATTCTACAAAGTAGTAAATCCTCAAATATAATTTAAATTTAATTTAAAATCTTTTTGTTAGTGAGACTCAAACGGAGGAATTGATTACGTAATTAAGTTATCTCTTAAACACCTGGGCTTAAAATTTCCCATTTCATTACCTCGGTTAAGCGTTCAGTGTAATAAGAGCCACGTTAGTTCCATTTACATGCTTTTTAGTGTCTAGTTACTCCCTTAGCAGTATTACAAGATTTCTTAAAGGACTGACTTAATAAAAGCAAAGATATTTTTAATAAGATAATTTTGTAAAGTTCTTAGGAGGATGATCGAACCAAGACCGGCGACAGTGTATATACTGCACGAAATGTATATAAGATAAACAGTATTACAAAAATTTTAGGTGTAGGCTAGGCTAGGAAATTCACTTCTAAAGCATTTTATAAGACATTGTTGACGATTAAGGTTCCATATACACATTTTTTATAATAATAAAGTAAATGTGATCGATGATAAATAACAAAGTTGTTCTCTCTGTATTATAGCTTGATAACTGTGACATTTTTCTGCTAGTAAAGTTGGGCTACTTTAGTTATGAGTATTTGGTTTTAGATGGGGCCATTTCATGAACTCTGTATACTGGATAATTCATCAGGCATAAATATTTCTCAATAACGTGAGATAAGGCATACATATTTATAATGTTGTTGTGTCTGAAATTGTAATATACTTGTATAGTTTTTTGATAATCAATAAAATTATTTATTAACAAACCGTTTATTATTTACATCACTGCCTGTACAATCAGATACACTATCATAGCAAGAATGGCCATCACTCCAACCACAGTCACAATAAAGGTGCAAACCACGCGTTGGGTTTCAGTACAATATCGACAAAAAATGCAACCATTTTCTTCAACTTCTCCCTCACGACTAACCACGAAATTCGGGCTAGTTTGGTTGATGTTTTGGGTTTCTTTCATCGCAAAAACTCTTCCGTCCGCGATTCAAAAAAATACGTTTGAAGTTTTCAGTTGTCAAATGGTTTTGACACTAACTACAGACAGTAAATTACGATTTTTCTTCGTGCTGTTTCATTACAAAAATTGCAAGAACTGCGAGAACTATGATGAGCACGCTTGCTCCGCCAATTAGAATAAAATACCAAGCGGGTTTTCTGAAGATGCGTCTGATTTGGAGAGGCGGTCTTTGTTCATTTTGTTGGACTGGTGGGTTTTGGGCATCTCCACCTTGCATGGTTTGTACTGACTGTCAATGTTGTCAAACGAGAAGCTTCACTGATGTGTTGAGTTTGAATCAAATGTTTATTGTTTATTTATCCTTGAACAAGACGAATTATTACAAAAATCAGTGCTGCCACAGCAGCGATAAATATAAAAATGAGCAACACACAAGCGCAACGACATTGTCTTAAAAGGGTCCATCCTTTGCAGCATACGGGATCAAGAGGGATATGTCCGCCTCGACGTCGGTGGATGTCTTCCATAAGCTGTTCGGTGGTTTGAACAGTCGCCATTGTGTTAAAATTTTAACTTGTCAAAAATGAGTAAACGAGTGTCAAAAATGTCAAAAATGATTAAAGACTTTATTAATTTTTCACATTAAAGTGGCTTTAATGACTCCAAGAGTTACTATAATTAAAAGAAGTAACACTCCGATTGATATAAGTACGCGGTGCCATCTCCTGCGATCACCCAGATGGTCTGCCTGGTATGGACTCCCTTCTCGATTCGCAAATTCACCCGTAAGCTGTTCTACATGTTGAAGTGGCATCTTTGGTAAAAACACTCCTGCAGTGACGGGATTTCGTAACCAGCGACAAAATTTTGGTGGGATAGTGGGTGGAAAAATGTCAGATTTCAACTTTTCGTTTTGAATTTTGTGGATTTTTCAATTTTTCAGTTTCCCTATTAAAATTTTTCAATGTCGGATTGAGGGCATAGGGGTGGAAGAAAAATTATAAATTTAAATTCTGCGATTTTCGTTTTGTGATAACTGTTAACCTCTATAAAGTGGTGTAATTAACATTCCCGCAACTCCTACGTCTTTAAATATGAAATATATTTAAAGCAGATAACTAACGGGAAAAATGTACACAATTTCAATTTTTCAGTATATGCTTATCTTCGACTGTTTATGATTATCCTTCGACCGAATTCGACTACTAGTAAAAACATTAGCGGTTAAAAGAAAATGAAATTTGGTTGATTTTGTGCCCTCAGCGGAAAGGAAAGGACTGATAGATTAATTCATGCTCAGTTTTTTTCCCCAAAAATGTAAAATGACGAACAAATTTTGACTAACGATTTTCCATGTTTCAAATAATCTTAAAATATTTGCACGAATTCATAACATTCAGTTTTTGCAGTTTCAAAGTTACGTTGTAAAATATTCGCACTTATTGAAAAATGTAAACAATTGTTTAAAAAAAAGAAGTAGACTGTTTCGCAGCTAACCGGAAAATTTCTCGATGTCCTGGCGGCACAATCCGACACTGTTTACAAATACTAGCCCCACCCACCCGCCCATTATTTTCTTAGAAGGTAAGTTATTTGCCAAAGTCAGTCTTATCTTAGCAAATTCAAACCCCGCCCACCCACCCTCTATTTTCTTGGAAAGTGTATCATCTGCCAAAGTCAGTTTTACCTTTGCAAATACTAGCCCCACCCACCCACCCTTTATTTTCTTAGAAGGTAGTCATTTGCCAAAATCATTTCCATTCCTTTTATTGGCTCAGAAGAAATAATTTCACGAGTCTTCAATTGTCCATTTTTTTTGTCCCTTTTCGTTTTTCCAATTACGAATTTTTGAAGCATGTTTTTTCAATTTTTTTTTTTTGTTGTTGGTATTTGCTAAGATAAAACTAATTTTGGCAAATGACATATCCTCTAAGAAAAGTGAGGGCTGGTGGGCAGGCCTAGTACATGCTAAGATAAGACTAATTTTGGCAAATCACATACACTCTAAGAAAACAGAGGGTGCGTGGGCGGGGCTAGTATTTGCCAAAGTAAGACTGCACAATAATAAGAGTAGTCATTGGAATGAAGAGGGGGTCAGTCGGCGGGGCTACTGCTTACTTATAAGACTCGTAAGAAAAGATCTAAACTCAGTTCCGCCCACATTTTTTCTTTATTCCACTGACTTATTTTATCTACTGTACAGTGGGAATTGAATTCTATTTCGACAAGCCGTAGAATCTAAGATTTAAAACAAAGTCAAAAATGCCCGCCCTCTCTTTTCTTACATCATTTGCCAAAATCAGTCTTATCTTTACAAATACTGGCCCCACCCACGCGCCCTTCATTTTCTTAGAAGGTATGCAATTTGCCAAAATCAGTCTTGTCGTACTAAATTGAAGCCCCGCCCACCCACCCTCTAGTTTCTTAGGGAGTATATCATTTGCCAAAATCAGCCTTATCTTTACAAATACTAGCCCTACCCACCCACCCTTTATTTTCTTAGATATGTCATTTGCCAAAATCAGTCTTATCTTTACAAATACTAGCCCCACCCACCCACCCTTTATTTTCTTAGAAGGTAAAGTCATTTGCCAAAATCATTTTCGTTCACTTTATTGACTCAGAAGAAAGTTTTCAATTTTTCATTATCTCTTTTTAGATTTTTCAATTTTTGACGTCTTCAGTTTTTCGAACTGCGTTTGTTGGGGAATATTTGTTGATTCCCAACTGCTTGTGCTTTTACAAGCAGTTCTGTTGGAGCACTGGAGAATTAAGTCACGGGGTACTTTCGAACAATGTTGTATTTCCTAACTCTCTTACAGTACTAACTTAAAACTAGAATGAAAATGAACAAGACACCCCCGATGCGTGCGCACGGGGTGGGGGAAATATTAGAAAATAGCGTCAAATCACAACATGCTCCCCGCGCTGAATTTAAAATTAGATAAAATTTAATTCAGTCTGTACAAGGCACTGCACACACTTTCGTAATTGGCCTTTTATACACTCCGCGCACAGTTTTTACACTTAACACTCTGCATTGACCGTCCTGCCCGGGATGTAATGCAGTAATCCTAGCGAGGGGCCATTGTAACGGTGGAGTGTTGTCCTCTTTGAGGATGACGAGATCTCCTGGTGCAGGTTGACGGGCCGGTAAACGATTCCACTTGCATCGCTGTTGTAAAGTGTGCAAGTACTCCCTAGACCATCTTTGCCAAAAGTGTTGCCGTAGTTGTTCCACCAGTTGGTAACGGGTGAGGCGATTACAGGGCACGTCCAAGAGGTTGGGTTCCGGAGCGGCGATCAGGGGGGCACCAATCAAGAAGTGTCCGGGCGTCAAGGCGTTGAGATCATTCGGGTCATTGGAAAGAGGGGTTAAGGGACGTGAGTTCATGCAGCTTTCGATCATTGCCAACAAAGTGCTCATTTCATCAAAATTTAATAATGTTTTGCCTATAACCCTCTTAAGATGACCTTTGGCGGTTTTGACAGCAGCCTCCCAAATTCCACCCATATGCGGGGAATGTGGAGGTATAAAATGTCACTGTATATTTTGAATGCTAAGGATATCTATTACGCTCGATCTAAACTCACTACTTTCAAATAATGTCTTTAATTCATGCAGATGGCGATTAGACCCTACAAAGTTAGTGCCATTGTCAGAGTATAAATGACTCGGTTTACCCCGGCGTGCTATAAATCGCTTAAGTGTATTCAAGAAAGTGAGGGATGAGCACCCGCAAACCATTTCAATGTGAACCGCTTTGGTACTAAAGCAGACAAATATTACAATGTAGACTTTGACTGTTTTGGTGGTACGCCCATATCCATTTTTTATAAGAAAAGGACCTGCATAGTCCACTCCGGATATACTAAATGGCCGCGAAGGCGTAACTCGGGACTTCGGAAGATTTGACATTAAGTGTTGATAAGCAATGGGTTTGACACGATAACATTTTAGGCAATTAAATATCACTCCGCGAACGGTTGCGCGAGCTGCAATGGGCCAATATTTTTGTCGTAAGGCAGATAGAGTCGCTTGACAGCCCGAATGCGCGCTTTCATCGTGATATTTTTTTATTATTAACTTGGTGACTGGATGATTTTTGGGCAGTAATAATTGATGTTGTTGATCAGGTAACAGTTCCGAATTATTTAATCGACCGCCGACTCTTAAGAGTCCGAATTCATCTATGAAGGGGTTTAAATTTAGAATTTTGCTGTTTTTAGAAAGTTGTTTGTGATGCCGTAAATTGTGCAGGTCTTCCGCAAAAACTTCGGATTGCAAGCTCTTGATTACGACATCGTGGGCCCGTTGCAATTCTTCACAAGTTAAAGAACCCTTTATGGTGTTTTTCTTGTTTGTTACGCTATGCTTAAAACGCAAAATATAGGCAGTGACTCTGATAAGTTTCACCAATGAAGAAAATCTATGTAGTAAATGAAATGGATCCTCAGGCTTTTGATTAACGATAGATAAACAACAAACCGCCTTAATTTCGGGAATCACTAACTGCGGATGTTCTTTAGCCGTAAAATTGATGTGCTCTGTATTGGTTTGAAGAAATTCGGGTCCATGCCACCATAGGAGCGACTGATTTAACCGAGACGGAGTACAGCCCCGTGACAGAATATCGGCGGGGTTTTTGTTTGACGGTACGTAGTGCCAATCAGCATCTGCCGAAAGCGACTGTATTTCGGCGATGCGGTGAGAGACAAAAACCTTTAAGGTCGCGGGGTTTAAACTTATCCACGACAAAACAATCGATGAATCCGTCCAGTAAAATTTTTCTCGAATCGTCACATTAAGAATCTTTGTCACCTTATCTAACATACGAGCTAATAACAAGGCCGCGCATAATTCTAAACGTGGAATTGTTAAACATTGTAACGGAGCTACCTTACTCTTAGCGCATAACAGATGGGCCCGATAAATACCCATTGAATCCCTCGTGCGCAAATATACACAGGCACCGTAGGCATTTTGGCTAGCGTCGCAAAACCCATGAAGCTGCACAGCCTCCAAAGTGTGAATAACTCTACGCGGTATTGAGATATTATCTAACGCACCGAAATTTTTAACAAAACTTTCCCAAATTGTATGTAAATCGGCAGGTAAGCTTTCGTCCCAATTAATCTTCAAAGCCCAAATTTTCTGTAGGATAATTTTAGCGGTTACGGTTATGGGTGATACTAATCCGAGTGGGTCGAAAATCTTGGCGATGGTACTCAAAATTGTTCTCTTTGTTACTTGCGGTTGGGACGATATTTTACCATTCGTAGAGAACGTAATTGTGTCGGTATCGTTATGCCAAAGCACCCCTAATGTCTTTGTGGGTTGCTGTTTGTCCAAGGACACGGTACTTTGCATATTTACCTGAAGATTACTCACTAAGCTGGGGCAGTTGGAATTTATTTTGTGCAATTGAAAACATCCCGATTGTAAAATGAAATTTACTTCGGTTAATAATTGTGAGGCTTGTTCAATGGTATCAGCCCCTGTGATGAGATCATCGACATAAAAATCGTTATAAACTAAATCTGATGCTATGGGATATTGAATTTTTGACTGATTGGCGAGTTCTATTAAACATCTTGTGGCAAGAAAAGAAGAGCTAGCAAACCCATAAGTAACGGTGTTTAATTGATAAACCTTGACCGGTTCGTTAGTATTGTGACGCCAAAATATTTGTTGGTACTTCTTATGGTCATCATGTAACAAGATTTGACGGTACATTTTTTGCACGTCGGCCGTAATTACTATTTTGTGAGTTCTAAAAGGAATCAAGATGCTGAAAAGGTCCTGTTGTAAGTTGGGCCCTGTCAGTAAGTTGTCATTTATTGACTTACTGTTGCTGGTTTTTAAAGACGCGTTAAAAACTACTCGCAGTTTAGTCGTGGGAGAAGATTCATTATAAACTGGGTGATGGCTTAAAAAATACCCTGAATTGTCTGGTTTTGGAATTTCAGACATGTGTTCGAGCGACAAATAAGCATCCATAAATTCTGAGTATTGTTTCAGCAATTGAGGATTTTTGTGCATCCGCCTTTCTAAGTTGTAAAACAATTTTAACGCGCGGTCCTTTGAAGTACTTATATTCGGAGGGTCGTTTATTAGGGGTAATTTAACTATAAAGCGTCCGTCTGCATTTCTGGAAAGACCTTCCCGAAAGTATTCTTCGCACAGGTCATTGCCACTAACAGGTGTACCTTCCGCGAATTCTTCTATTTCCCAAAATTTTTTTAGTTCATTATCCAGGGATACATTGATTACGTTACAAGAGGCCGTTTTCTGATTGTACCTAGCCGCGACAGCGCCCCCCACTATCCAACCAAAATGTGTTTTTTGTAATATTGGCCCTTGTTTACCAAGTCGAATCTGACCTATGCACATGAGATCCCAAAAAATCTCGTTACCGATTAAGAGATCGACCGGTTGCGACACATTGTACATAGGGTCGGCCAACTTAACATTTGGAGGTAAATTGGCGAGTGGCGGAAATTCTGTAGACGGTACGTTGCCTGTTATTTCGGGAACAATTAAAAAATCTAATTTGGCCTCAAATGCATTACAAATGGATGAAATTTTGACCTTTACAGCTTGTTTAATAGTGGACGAAGTGCAACCTATTCCTATCAATGGCAAATTAATATTGTGTAAATTTTGTAATCCTAAGATTTTAACGGCTGTTTCAGTGATGAAATTTGAGACGGACCCGTTATCTAACAATATGCGAAATTGCCCTTGTTTACCGTTCTTACCTAAAACATTAATGACTGCGGTAGAAAGAGTGATGTTTTTGTTAAGAATTTGCGCACAATTGCTACTGGTAACCTTTAATGAGGATGTTGATGGTTCTGATTCACTTGAAGAGTTTTCAAAATGCAACAAGGAATTATGGCGCTTATGGCACTTTCTACAATTACTAGAGGCGCAGGTTTCTAATTTATGTCCACCTCTAAGGCAGTTTACACATAATTTACGTCTTTTAATTTCGGAATATCTCTGCTCTACAGATAAGTCCAAAAAACCTTGACAATTATAAATATTGTGTGATTGTTTGCAATATGGGCATACGGGTTGATTAACGGTAGAATTGACTAGATGCGAAGAACTACGATTATTAGGTATTTTATTAAGCTTCTGAAAACTATTTGAACCTGACTTGAAACTGTGGTTAGCTTCAAATGCCTCCCACATCTGGCACCTCTGCGTTAAAAATTGGAACATTGATTCCATATTTGGAATTTCGCTGGAAAGAGTGCTTTCCCATGCGACGGTCGTATGTTGATCGAATTTTGCCGCTATCATATGTATAAGCAAATCGTCCCACTGGTCAATGGGACGTTTAATGTTTTCTAGGGCCTTTAGATTTGTGTGTAAAGTCTGTAACATTGACCTAAGTGACTTTGAATCTTTATTGTTAATCGCGGGCAACGTAAAAAGGGCGCGTACATGATGTTGTACTATTATCCGTTTGTTTTCGTATCGCTTTACCAATAATGACCACGCCGATTCATAATTTTCTGTAGACGGGGACAAATGCGCTATAGTTTGTTGCGCCTCTCCCTTTAGGCTGCCCTTCAGGTAGTGGAATTTTTGTATTGGATTCAGTTGACTATCGTGAATTAATGTTTTGTATGAATCACGAAAGCTGATCCACTCGGTAAATAAACCCGTAAAAGTGGGCAGTTGGATGTCCGGTAATTTTACGTTAGCTGAAACTGCGCTGCCATTACTAGAATCGGTACTGCTGTTAATTGCATTTTTTGCCTCGCTAATTATTTGATAATAATCGTCTTCGAAATTATTAAGCTCGTCTTCTGTCGCTTGCGTTTCATCAAAGACATGTATTTGCGTATGATAATCCTCAAATTCTTGCAATAATGAATATATACCTTGCAATCGCACACTAATTTCGTCGCGTTTATTTTTATTTTCTTCTTGATTTACAAAATTAATGAACCGAGTAAGTTTTCGTCTAACATTGGCTCTCTTAGCTTTGAGGGCCTTGATTTCGTCCGCAGTAGTCATAATTAACGAATTTAACTTATTACCTTTTACTAATTTAGCGAAAGAAAGATGAAACAATAGGTGTATGTGACACTAAATTGGCAATGACAAAGAGCACGCATGAACTTAATAGGAATGGGATTATAGGACTGACCTCGCCTTTGCTGATGATGTCCACGGAGCTCCTCGCTGCCTTCACGCCGTATCACGCCGAAGTTGATCGACGTCGGTGTTTTTGATGATTATAAACCGAATCGGTATCCGGCTCGAAGGACCAATTAATATGTTGGGGAATATTTGTTGATTCCCAACTGCTTGTGCTTTTACAAGCAGTTCTGTTGGAGCACTGGAGAATTAAGTCACGGGGTACTTTCGAACAATGTTGTATTTCCTAACTCTCTTACAGTACTAACTTAAAACTAGAATGAAAATGAACAAGACACCCCCGATGCGTGCGCACGGGGTGGGGGAAATATTAGAAAATAGCGTCAAATCACAAC